TGTTAATGAGAGTTAAATCTAAAAAATTTAGTTGGTTGTCGGTTTCTAATTCCAAAGTGAATTTAATATTACTATGTAAATTATGAAACTCATTTTGAAACTCATTCCTCTTCATCTGCTAGGTAATACCCGACATCTTACTTCCATAGTATTCTTGAATTGAATAAATTTCACTTTCTATTAGGTGTTTCTTCACTTCCGCTTTAAATTTCTTCTCGTCTAATTGTTTTGTTCTTGATGGTAGAGAATTATATAGTTTTATTGAAATATATTTGAAAGTATTTTGTGACTTCTGTACTCTGTGTAAGGGTACCAGTAAATTGTTTCCATATCGTGTACTGTAGTTATATATTTCTTTCCAATGTCTCTCTTTGTGCATGAACATATTGTAGACAAGAAAAAACAAAACAGAATGGTATTGTCTGTATCTTCAACTCCCTAAAATAGCATCTGCAACTTTCTCTATAACCCAATTTTTTAAGTATTCTAATTGCTTTTTTTTTGCAATTTAAAAATCTCACCCTCAAAATCTCACTAGATGCGCCCCAAGTAAGTATGCCATATATTGCCATACTATGAAAGTACGCAAAATATACATTCCTTATTTTTCCTCCGGTAAACATTTAGCTAACATTCTTAAACAATACAGTGCCGTTGCCAATTTTTGTTTCAATTTTTTTATGTGGTCCCTCCATGATAGAGCTTCTCATAGTGTAACTCCTTAGTATTTAGTATTATCTCTGACCTCCTGGTTTTGTTTTGTGAAGAAGGTAAGTGTATGTGTTTTTTCTTTGTTCAGTTGTAGATTATTTACTTGGAACCAATTTTTTGCTTCATTTAATGTTATATTTGTTTTTTCTTTTAACTCTTCTAAGTCTTTAGAACTATTTATGAATGAGGTGTCATCAGCATACAAACACATTCAATCTGCCTTTATATTTTTTGGTAAATCGTTTAAATATGTATAACAGGAATAAAACTGGTCCGAGCACAGAGCCCTGTGGTATTCCAGTTTCTACTGTTCTCCATTCAGAAATTGTTCCCTTCCAGTGTGTCTGTTGTTGTCTTTCCTGAAGATATGAAGCAATAAGTTTATTTCCATTTTCGTTTATGCCGTATTTTTCCATTTTTTCAGAAGATTTTGGTGATTCACTGAGATTCACAAAAAACTACTTGTGTATAATTTTGCGTATCAAAACCAGTTATTATACTTTGGATTACACTAAGCAGTGCTGATGTTGATTTTTTTTTGATATGCATGTTGGTATTGTGTTATTAGATTATTGTCTTTTATGTGGTCCATGATCCTGTTTTTTATTGCAGTTTCAAAAACTTTGGGTATTAGGGGTATTATTGATATCGGTCTGTTCTATCTTCGGGTAATGATTTCGTTGTCCAAATGTGACAACTTGTATTAGATTTCGATTAAGAGTGTTTCTATTAAGATGATGAAATCATAAGAAATGCGTTATTGCGAGATTTATGGTACTGCGCGTTTTCTGATGTTTTCCACAGTTTACATCGCATTAACTCTTTAATTACTAAGAGCGTACGTTTTCGTTTTTATATAAGTGGTAATAATAAACGTGAAGTGTGTTTTCTGCTGATGTTTTTCGTGTTTCGCAGAATGAGAAACGCAGAAATTTGTCTTGCAAACATGTTTATTATGACAAACGAGTTTATACCTCGGAAACTCTTTAATTTGTAAAATCTTGTGAAATGTAGTCTTCAATTACGGAGGAAATCTATAGTAATATTGTATATTTTTCATGTTATATTTAAGCTTGATAAGAACCCTAAATGAGATTTGGTTGGTTTGAATGATAGAGTACTTCAGATTTGTTCAAAGCCGCTTGTAACCTAGGCGCCACATCAATTTCAGGTTGATGTAATATTAATCTCTGAACAAAATGTAATAAAAAGTTTTTTAATAACTGAAATTTTATACTTTCTCCTGTTTTATTAATAAAAATTCGCTTTACATGTTTCGACTCTCTTCGCCATCTTCAGAAGCGTCGTCATCTTATTAAAATTGACTTTCAAAGAAAAATATGTTGGTATAAAATGTTACTCATAATATTAAAATCATTTTTATAGTATGACTTCGTAATGTTAACCAATAACGTTTAAATATTAATTGATTTATATTATAAAATTTGAATATGTGATATATTTTTTATTTAAAAAATTTGCGAAAAGTTTTATTTATCATGTTCGTTTGGTAATTCTGCGAAATGCTTACAACATATTTCTCAACCAAGTACAAAAGAAACTACAAAATTTCAGTTATTAAAAAACTTTTTATTAAATTTCGTCCATATTACTGATATACTTGGACCTCGGCTTAATTAGTCAAACGATTTACAACTTCATCTGGTAAAATCAAGGCCGCTTGCAACCCAGGCGCCACACCAATTTCAGATGGATGTAATATTAATCACTGAGCCTCGGCAGGAAGCAACCTCGGCTTAGTTAACAAAAAGATATGCAAGTTTACTCAATAAAGCCGACGCCGATTGCGGTCGAGACGCCACAATGATCTATCTCACCCGCAAGTGGCCTCGGCTTAATTTGTCAAAAGCTCTTTATTAGATAAAGCCGAGCCACAAGCGACCTTGGCTAATTTTTATTTACGAGGTCGTGGAAAATCTGCTAGCAAACATCAGGTTTGATGGCCTTGAGCGGATAGTGTGGGGTTAGACCCTAAGCTTGGATCTCCGACCCACTAAAAATTCCTATCCTCGTCTTCTCCTGAACCGCCGACAGGTATTTCCTAGGAGCTACATTGTCACTTCTTGCTCTCTCCCCTCAAATACTCTCTTTCTACCTTTCACCTGCTCGTTACTCTGTCGTTCCGGACGAATAAAATTACTTAATTTTTTAGTCTTTACCTTTCACTTACCTATTACCTAGACGAGGGGAAGATGAACCTTCGTCCTTTTTCTTTATTCATGCCTCTCTGCTTCCCTTACACTTTTTTTAAAATTTCTCCCATCCGTTCACCTTTCTGCCTCTCTTCATTTGGACGATAAAAATAGAAATTCCTTATAACTTTTTGGTCTTAACTATTTACTCATGTACATATTACCTGGACGAGAAGAGGATGAAACCTCCCCTCTTTCCTCTTCTGTACCCTTATCCATTTCCCAGAGCAGTTTCTCTCATCTCAGTCCTGCATCACCACATGCTGTCTCCTCCTCTCTTTTTCAATTTCTTCTTTCCGTTTGATCGTGAAGATTTTTTAAAAAGAATTCCTATAGCCACCCAGTTTTCTTCCCTTTCAAGCAGCAGATAGGTTGGGTTGTACTTCCACACACTTTCTCGCACAAAAGGCTCTTTCTCTCTCAAATTTTTCTCAGACGAAAATCGTATGCAAGGGTGAATCCTCTTGGCCACAGAACTAGCACCCCGCTGTTTCAGCCTTCCTTATCTTACACAGCGAGGTACCAAATATACTGTGCCCAGTGATTGCTTTTGTCAAGTAGTTTAAGTGGTCTACTTCATCCCATTTCCTCTTTGTCCATGCTTCTACGTTTCTTATGAAAACCTTAGCCTATCCATCATAATCATCCCACCTGTTGCCAGTTGCGAAATATCTTCCCTTTCCATGTATTCCATGTGTATAGGGAAGACCGGGGCACACTCGGACACTTTTGGTCAGCTGCCTCTATTTCATCAAACATGGAAGGTAGCTACTACCTTTTAGTAATACAACAAAGTATGCTCTATTACACAAGTTACAAAACATTTACTCTTGTAGTGCTTGACTTGATAGGTTGTGGCAGTTTCAAAATTACATCAGACCTAGGGACCTATGTCTTGTTTTCTCAAAAAGCTGACCTCGCATTCATCAGATTGATCATCAACGACTTTGCCAATGTAATATTTGATGCTTTTTTTTTGTAGGAAACTTAACCAAAATGTAATTATCGCTCTCAATTATTGTTTCTAACTCTAGTAAGCCGGGCACATCAGTTTCATCATCTTCTAGGTCCATGTTGTCTAGATGTGATGAATGAGAAGAATATTTGCCTTTTTTATTTTTGGAATTTCGATATCTGAATCAGATGAAGATGTTTCATCTTGAATTTTTTTTTTTGCTATTTCTTTTCTTTACTTGCTTTCTTTTCAGTGTTTAATTTTGGCACCACCTTCTTTTTTTCTGATTTCTTACTTTTTGTTGGAAAGACTTGTCTTGTAGCATTTTTCTTAGCTTGTTTCATAATTTTTTCCCTTTTAATGTCTCCAACTCGTTCCTTTTCTGGTGTGTCGTTGTAAATTTTGGAGTTTCCTTTCCTGGATTTACGTACAATCTTTCGTGGGAGTGTTCTTGGAAAGGGGCGAATATCAGCAACCGTGTAATTCTTTTTTCTCTTTTTGAATACGTTTACAAGCACCTCTTCAACAACACTTTTTATTTTGATCGTTGTCCCGGAATTTTAGCTCAAAAAGTCGTTGAATGATGCTTTACACCTTGATTTAAATGGCCCATGGATCCCTTTACGATATCTTTACGTTGACTTTTCGTGTTTTTCTTCTCCTCTGCAGTACTACAATTTATATCTTGTAGGCAGCAATCCTGACTCCCATGGTATTTAACTGTTCTACCACTCCCTCTACATAACTACATAACTGGCTCTTTCTTCCGCAATCGTTTTTGTCCTTGCGGTAATAAACAACCCCAAATCGTTGGCATATGCTATCAAATTTACCCCTTCTTTCATCTGCGTCCTTAAGATTTTATCGTAGATGAAGTTCTACAGTATTGGGCCAAGTATCGAGCCTTGAGGTACACCACATGTTATCTTAAACGTATCTCCGCTTGCTTCCACTACATATCTCTTGAATAGGTAGGATTTTATTATGAGTATCAGGTACTTACATTCCCATCCTCTAGTGCTTCAACAAACTCTAGCCATAGAGCGGAATTGAACGCACTTCGTATGTCCAGTGTTACCATCACAAATAGTTTTGATGTTGAATAGCTTTGCTCGTAATACAGTCAACGATTCCCTGTACCCTACTGATGGCGTCTACAGTTGATCTACCTTCTCTGAACCCGTACTGGTCTTTGCGCAGCATGTCCTTCTCATTCATTTCTTTTTTCAGTTGTGCCCTTATTAGCAGTTCCCGCACCTTCGCCATTGTATCGTCCAGACAAATCTGTTTAAACGAAGCCCTACCGTCCGTACCTTTATTTGGTTTTTCCACCAGAATAGGATTCGTCGATTTCCATTGACATGGGAAATAGCCCTATGTGACGCAGATATTATACAGGATTAGATAAAAGTATGGAGACGGCGATTTCTTGTCGTTAATATTCTGCTTTTCAAAAGAAATGAACCACCCCGTAGGAGTAGGCGAAGAACTTTGAAATTATCTGTCTGTTAGGTCTTGAAATTTCGTGTTGTTGAATAGTATTTTTCGGAGTAGTTCGCCGTTTGTTTGTGATTGTTGTCATTGCATCAGTAAACTTAGTGTCTCAAAAATGCAAAATGGAAAAGGACGAAGTATCGGTATGCATGAGGCTAGTTTAAGCTTTCGGGAAATTGGCAGGATTGGTAGGAAGAACGCTTAGAAACCCGTCGTAGAGGCAGTGGACGTCCTAGAGTAACAGCAGCACGCGAAGATCGGCTGTTAAGGCGAAGTGCAATACAAGACCCAGTAGAACCAACGCGTACTGTTGCAACCAATTGGATACGAGCAATTGGTCGCAGAGTGTCTATGATTTATCGTGGAGTACGCACATTTGGGTTACATTCATATCGTCCTTATTTTCGTCTTCCTATGACTCAACAACATAAAGATGCCAGAGTGCAGTGGAGCCAAAACCGACAATATTGGGACCATGAATGGGAAACTATCGTCTTCAGCGACGAATCCCAATTTTGCTTATGGAATTCTGACGGACGTTTACGGATCAGACGACCTAGAGGTCAGAGGCAAAATTTACAGTTTGTTCAGCGTCGCCAAACGGCTCAAACTTCTGGTGTAATGCTGTGGGGAGTAATACGCTACGGTGGCAGGTCTCCTTTGCGCCGTTACATTGACGCCATTCTGGAGCCCGTGTTAGTGCCTTTCCTCCAAGACCTTCCAAAGCCCGTCTTCCAACACGATAATGCGCGACCTTATATTGCTCACGTAACATTAGAGTTCCTAGCACAAAAAAATGTTCTGCAATTGCCTTGGTCGGCAAGATCCCCGGACTTAAACCCTATTGAACATGTCTGCGTCGATTATCCCATCCTCCCAACACTTTAGAGGAATTACGTCAACAGCTGGAATGAGCAGCCCCAAGAGGCAATCGACCATCTAATTTCCAGCATGCCACGAAGGGTTACTGAATGTGTAAGAGTACGTGGAGATGTAACACATTATTAACGATATTATCAATAAATATTGTCATTTGTTAATGAAAATTTAATCATTTGTTTGTGTCTAGGCACTAACTATTTCTACGTAATTTAGAATTTCTGCGTCTCCTCTTTTGGGGTGGTTCATTTCTTTTTAAACACAGTGTATTTATTTTAGGAAATTAAGTTTAGTACAAAAGTTTGTTATGTAATTTTTATCTACATTTGAGAATGCTTCAATTTTGGATTTGTTCAATTGTTCTTGAGCTACGCCTGTCCGCGTATTTTTTTTTTAATTGGAGCCTGTTCATTTGGCCTATCATTCGATAGAGCTTTTTCTCTTTACAACACTATTTTTGCTTTTTTTTTAAATTTATTTTAATAACATGTTTACAAGAAAAAGTTTAAGTATTTACGAATAATAGGTATCATCAAGCATAATCTATATTTCAATTCTTTCACATTCACTTCAACGCGCCTTTGACATGTATTTGACGTAAACAGTAACTACTAATACAGTTACCTCGCTGCTTCGCTCGACTTTGTTTATCGCTTTGCCTTTGTCTGTCTTAAATGTACCTACTATTCGTAAATACTGGAATTGGCTTTTTCTTGCAAAAATGTTATAAAAATAAATTTAAAAAAAATACTATCGTAAAGAGACAGGCGTAACTCAAAAACAATTAAACAAAAACAAAATTGAAGTATTCTCAAATGTAGATAAAAATTACACAACAAACTTTTGTATTGAACATAATTTTCTAAAATAAATATTAACGGCAATAAATCACCGTCGCCATACTTTTAACTAACCGTATATATTTTTACGAAATTATCTTTGTTACCCTCGACCGTTGCTATCAAGATTTATAGCATGATACCATCTGGTCCAGGTGCCTTTCTTTTGCGTATCTTTGTTACCGCCACTTGCTCCACTAGCTTCTCCACAACAAAAGGTGATATTTCTGTTTTAATAATCCTCTATGGACCACATAATTTTATAAGTATGGGAATTATAGGGTGAATCCTCCGTGATTTTGTAAGTATGGTTACTGGATTCATATAGAACTAATAGCAATGAGATTATATTAGATAACTAGGGGAAGGCAAGGCAAGACGGGGTACTTAAGCACTAAAAAATTTTTTGTAGTCGTAAGAAATGCTCAATAGAAATACGAGCTAAAGCAATTAAAACGTCAGTATTTCTGAAGTTAATTTCAAAAATTAGGACCAAAAAAAATTACTATTTATGGTAGGAAAAAATTTTTTCAGGGTTGTTCAAGTACCCCATCTTGCCCTATAGTGAGGGTAAGATGGACTACGCAGGAAGGGCAAGATGGGGTGGCTCAATAATTGGAAATGCATAGGTTTTTAAATTACAGATTTATTCAAACGCAAAAAACTTATTTCAATAACTAAAAAAATCTTGACATTGTTTGAAAAAAATGTCCAAAAGGATAAATACTTTAGTCGCAAGTAACATTTAGTTTGTGTCATCTGAAAAGTTACGGATTTATTATTCAGTTCTCATCGTCCTTTTGTAAGCAAAATTCACAGATATGGTGTACCTCGGCATCCTCGTCCTCCTCTCCCGCACAAGAACAATGATCCTACTTCTTGCAAGAGACGCATGACAGCCATCCTTCTGTAGACTGAGAGTAGAAATGGCCATAATACAGACACATCTTCATCTGACGTGCTTCTTTCTTCGTTTTTTTCTTTTTTTATCACTTTTGGCAGATTATTTATTGTTTTTTATATTTTCCCTTTTTTTCTTTACGAATAAATAGCAATTTTAACATTTTTCTTAGGAGCATTCTTCACTTCTGCATTCTTTCCTTCTGCATGCTTTTCTTCTTGGTCCTTCTTTTTACCGAGCTTAACTTTATTTACACTCTCTAGAAGTTCTTTTTTGTAAGGCGAGCTAGTTACAACAACAGTTTTTCCTGTTTTGTGGCCTGATTTCCGGATGTTTTTCTTTCTGACATGAGGAACAGGAACAATTTGTTCAGGAGAAACCGCAAAGGATCTTAATTGATAGGTGTTGTTCTTGAGAGCTTGTTGGTTTGTGGTATCGTTATTGGAGTTACTATCATTCCAATGTGAGCACCCAGGTTCAGCAAACGCATCTTCCTCTTAGGTTCGGCTTGGTTGACAGAACCATCGTTTATCTGTGGTATAACCTGCTTACGCGAGCAATTTGAAGCACTTCCTTGGTCACTATTGACAATAATGTTAGCGGCTTCATTTGTAATTAAAGGAATGTCTGTTGTGATAGAAGCTTTAAACACTGAATCTGGAAATATATTTGATTCGTAAGGACAAATTCCAGTTTTTTGAAACCATTTATCGCAGTTAATATAGTTGCAGCCCTGAGTAAGGCTTTGCCCAAAATCTCAGCGATTTGAAACTAAGTAACAACTTTTCCTGGATTTGATCGTAGCCAATTCCAATAGAGAATGACCACACCATTAGCCCTTGCTTTATCAATTATGGTCAGACTCTGTATATGAGTTGAATGACCATCCAACAATAGCAGGACTGGTTTCTCCTTGGTTGCTTAAGAAATTACGATGAATTTGTCGAACCATTTCTCAAAAATGTTTTTCTCCATCCAGCCAGAGACATGGCATTCTGTCCACATTCCAGGTGAACAATTGTTCAGCAATTCTGGTTTCATTCGCTGTCGAGGATACACTAACATGGGTGGCATAAAACCTCCAGCTGCACTTTTCTTCTTTCGGCAGATGAAAATGAGCCTACTTGTTTCCTCCCTTTTGTTGCCAGTATTTTGGAAGTATTCTTTGAAACAGCAGAAATCCCACTTTCATCGCAGTTGTAAATTCGATCTGGTTGCCAGCTCTATCCGACACTCACACAGCAACTATAGTCAACTATTTTCCACTAGGTTGCTACACCTACCGTGGCAGTAATTGCAAAAGCCCCGTCTTGCTCTCCACCCCGTTTTGCCCCGCTCTCCCCTATACATGAATAAATTTTCTATCCAATGGTATAATAATTAAATCGATTGCTTACTTTTCTACTCTCTCAACACGCTATGGAAGACACGGAAATTTCTATGACTTGCTTATAAACACAAAATTGCCACTGCTCACTTTGTTCCGTTCAGAAGCCAGCTGAATTCACGATACCATGTTCTGCAGGGAGTACGCAACATAAGTTGTCTATATTAAGAAAATACTACATTATAGTTTTCAAGTTACGATGGTGGTCTAATCAAGATCCAACTTCGGCTACTCTCCCCTATATTCCTAATTTTTGTAAATATTTATTCGAGGACATACAGAAAGATCACATTCATCATTTTTGAACAAAAATATGCTCAAATTTGGGTCAAAAAATACCTGATGGAATTCAAGGCTGATCATTGTATTTTATTGAAGAGCAGGTACAAAGTTGTTAAGAGAGACTTCACCCAGATTGTTTTAAAAAGCAAATTTCTGTCTACTTTAATCCACATCACTGAACCACTGATCTTTATTTCTATCTTTATTCATATTGAATATGAGGATAATATTTTTGTGGCAATCTTTTTCCGCTTCTCGGACATCGTTTTTAATTTTATTGGAGTGTTGTTTTCGCCATATAAGTCTCATTGGAATGAATTTCGAAATTCATATTTACCATCGATATCTGTCTCAAATTAATCGTTATCTTTTATTATGATTATTCCACAGAATTGTGATATAATACAAGTTTTTCAAGACTACCAACTGGATGTAGTTAAAGTTTTTGTGAGATAAAAACAAGAAAAACATATAAAATACATTTTCCTTGTTGACCCAAAACTTTTTAATTATCGTTCGAGGAATATAAATTTTTTTATATAAACTTTTTTTTATGGAATCGTAAAAGAAATTCTTTATGATAATATCACCATTAATAAGTTTTTTCCGAGATTATCATAAAAAAATCATTTAAAGTTAAATTCGTTTTCAGCCGGAAAGAGTTGATTCAGCTGACAATTGATGACGCCGACGAAACCTCATTGCAACCGTAAGGCCGATGTTGCAAAGTTTAAAAGTTCACACAGCTACGGGATCGATTCTTCCTCTCCCACGTCCGCAAAACTATGACGTCATAGTCTTTCTATTGTGACGTCATGTTCAACCCTCGCGTATAAGGTGACCGAGTAAATTGAAATTTAGGTCAAAAATAGAAACTTTTACTTCATTTTTGTTTTATAATTCTATTTTGTTATTGCAATTATACATTAAATTAATCCTTTTTACGTCGCCGTCGCTTAATTTATTTTGATTTTTTAAAACCACACCAGGATTTGTCTAAAAGAATTAAATTTTTATTTTTGTGTGAATTAAGAAATTACTTTTTACCGGTAATATAGTTGGTAACAAAGGATGTTTACTAAAAGCAAAAGAATTGTATTGCATAATCGAATAATAATCGTATTGGGTTCCCAAATTTGTCGTCAATTCATCTTCGTTTAAATAAAAATTACTTTCCATTCCTTCTTGAATATTGTCCCATAAAATTTGAATCCAATCGTCTCTATCCGGTCTGGTGTGTTCATGAAGAAATCCTAAAGTATGCATAACTTCGTGGAGAACAGCTCCTCTCGAAACCGTGCACAAATACGATTGTAAATTAATGATTTGTTCCCCTCCTTTTCGACCTAAATTTGAATGGCAACCGTACAGCTCTGTTCGTATAAGAACATGATCTTTTTCTCCATCCCTAGGTTTAAATCTTCAAAATTAAAAATTACGTCATAGAGATAACTTTTCAATAAACAAATTAATTCTTACTTTACACACGTATTATTACTAAACTCTTCTAAAACCGAGTTAATAATCGTTAAATCAGCGTCGATTATATTTGAATCGTATTCAATCGGAACTATCCCATTTATCCAAAGTCGATGATTTTCACTTAAACCATATCTTGATGAAATTTCAATTTTATTTATGTCACATAGATCCAAATCTATCGAAATGGTTTTTGGAAGAACGATAATTACAACCACAATAATCAAATACATTTTAGTTAATATTGGTTTTAAATACAAACAAAGCTATTAAAATATGTAATTAAGCCAAGTATTTGTCGTAAAATGTTTATGATGATTCAGTTATGTTAATTGTTTGAGAATTAAAGTATAGGTATCTATTATGAAGAATATGGCAAATTTTATCAATAAAGTAGAGTTTCTTCATAAATTATCTTCGGATGTTTTCATTTAAATGATACGATTAGAGGATATATGAAAGCAACATAGATAACATTTTTGCTTTTTTGGATTACATCTCCAACGTAATATCTTCAACTTCATCGTCATTAGATTCACAAACGCAATTAGTTGTGAAAGGTCTCTTCATCTCCATTGTTTTGTTGTTGAATGCCATAATGAAAAACTGCTCACAACAACACGAGATAACGCAACACAAACATTTTGGGTCAGTAATGACTTCGAAATACTAAATATTGCTCACTCAGAAATCAAACTCAATGGAATCGCCCATCAGTGTATTTTCAGCTCAACGCCAGTTGGAGTTAACTATGAACATCAGTAATTTCTGAGATTTTGATACTAAAACCTTGAAGGAGTTTAGATAATAAATATCAGAAATTTTATCGACGATTGTACCACGATATCATTCTTCTTCAGACACCTCGCAATCCGCTCTACCACACCTGAAACATAGGGGGCAGATAAAACCTGGTGCAGTATCTATTGGGTCTTAACTCTGCTTGCATTGTTTGGTGGCTCGCTGGATATCACTCACTTTCTTCTTTCTTTAAATTCTTTTTGTTGCATATCCTTTCTGTTCGCTAGAACATGGTTGGATCTCTGAATTCTTCTGTTGTGAATGGTGGTGGGATGAAGCCTGCAGATACCTATTCGTGTGTGTCTTCCGACTCTTCTTTAACGCTTCCTTTTGAAACATCTCCATGTAAAATATGGCGATCATAGGTGCCAGATGTAATCCCTCTGACTGCTCTTCGCATTGCTCATAGAATTCTCATTTCCAGCTAAAATATGTCGATGATAGGCAGTACTCCACTAACATTAAACAAGGACTGATAGAAACTAGTATCATGTGAAACTAGATGTTTTTGGGTCGATAATGACTTCGGAATAGCAACCTCAATGGAATCGCCCATCAGTATATTTTCAGCTCAACGCCGGTTTGAATTAACTATGAACATCAGTAATTTCCGAGATTTTGATACTAAAACCATGAAGGAGTTTAGATAATAAATAACAGAAATTTTATCGGCCAAAAAATGAGGAAACAAACATTTCTTTCAACAGATCGAAAGAAATTACAGCTTTATTCTGAAAATTTCGGCACACCGAAAGAAAAGCGATTATAGTTCTACACTTATAACTTACGATTTAAGAAAAAGTAGAAAGTTACAAAAATGGAATGAATGGCATGACCATAAAGAGGAATACAAGGTAAACCCATTAAAATCCATGGTTAAAAGGAAAGCCGAGCCATGAAATTTGGTGTTCCTATGGTGTGGTGTGAGATTAAAGAGCATTTTTTAGACTGTTACTTCTGCCTCACAAATATTACAGGACATTCTAGCAAAACTCGACATAAAATGAAGTAGCTAAACGTATCTTCAATGCATTTGCCTGTAACTGAAACGTGCAAGCCACGAGAATCTCAATCTCCTGACACTTTGCCTCAGCTGTTTAATAAAAAGAATCTGAACGAGTTGGTTCGCAATCTAAAACTATCGAAAGTTTAGGAAAGTGGTCAAGACTGCAACAACGGAACCTTCTAGCTCAGTTTTAGATTAAGAGGTACGTCCTTCGCTCAATATTTTGACATGCAGAATTCAATGTGCATCTGTAGAGATGTCAATGGACTGATGGTGCAGTTGGGTGTACAAGATAACCCACAGGAGTGGCGAAAGCAATACTCCTGCATAATAGCAATACATTCCCATCGGTACCTTTAGCTTACACAGTAAACGTAAAAGAAACACATGATAGCATGGCTTCCTTGCTAGAGGCAATCAAATATAACGATCATGAATGGCAACTTTGCTGTGCGAATGGGTTCACTAAATATTGCTGCTTTTTGTACCTATGGGATAGCCGTGACACTAAGAACCATTATATAGTCAAGAAATGACCTATAAGAAAATCATATTGCTTCCGCTTCACATCAAATTGGGGCTTATGAAGAACTGTGTAAAAGGTTTGGATAAAGGAGGGCAATCATTTGAAAGAAAATCTTCCCAAATTAAGTGTTACAAAGCTGAAAGATAGTATATTTGTTGGGCCAAAGTAAAAAAATTGTTGAAAGATCGAGCATCTGATACCAAAGTCACAAATATCAAATTAGCTACTTGGTCAGCTTTTAAAGCAGTTGTGAAGGGCTTTTTTGGGCAACAAAAAAATGATAACTGTGTTCTTTGTGAATGATTTATTGAACAGCTACAAGAATACGGGATGTAGAATGTCGCTAAAAGTCACTTTTTACACTCCCACTTTTTACCAAGCGTCCTTACGATTGAACACGCTGGAACCTTTTGATGATGGGCGACTGCTGTTGGGGTGTTGTTAGGGAGTATGTTGAAAAAAGTTAGGAGTATGAGAATATGTTGTGATCTAATTTAGACAATCCATTGGCATCATGTCTATGTGGTAACTATACATTTAAAATAACATTAAATTCTAAAATACTGATTCTGTATTTCTTGTTTGTTATATTTCAGTCAATGTTTGCCAGTACTGTTTTTGACTCTGTTGTGTATCTAGGAGATGTGACATGATAGATAAAAACTGATCTTACCAGTGAACTCAGCATCCCAAAATTAATAAAATCCACCTCTTTATAAAGCAGATGCAGAAACAAGGTTTAAATTTCTGGACTAATGTTATTAATGCCCCAAAATCTAAACTTATTTCAGCTCCATCCTCAATTACAACTTTATATTTCGAAACTCCAATATTAAACCCAAACACATTAAAAATCTTGAGATTTTGAAGAAAGCAATTTCAAGCCAACCTAACTCCTCATTCACCTGAACTTAATCTTTTTAATATACAAATCTAACTCAAATCTTAAACCAAACTGTATTCAACTTAACACTTTATCACATTTTCAACCATTTCTAATGCAATACAGGCTGTCTCGTGTACCTGGTTCGTTAGAACTTTTTTAGGTTCCACTATTCGTATAGTTTTGAAATTTTAGTAGCATGGGTTGTTCATTCGGAACTTTCGATCTAAAATATTTCCAAGATGGCTGCCACTTCCGGTCTACCGGAAGTAGACCATAACTTCGTTATTTTAAATGGAATGCTATTAAATTGATTGCGTAGATCATAGAATTTTATTAACTAAATTAGAAATGTATAATTTTCATAACAATTCCATTAAATTAATAGAATCATACTTATCAAATAGAGTCCAAGTTGTAAAATGTAGCAATGAATTATCTGAAATACAAATATTATTACTGGGTGTACCACAAGGCTCGGTTCTTGGCCCATTATTATTTTTAATATACATTAATGACTTAAGTAGATCTTTACTGAATAATAAAGCCAAAATTGATATGGCTACAATTAGATCAAATGCTCAAAAATGGTTCATTCACAACAAACTAAGCTTGAATAATGAAAAAACAGCTCAGGTGTTCTTTACGCTGCGTGATCTCTCGAATACACCGAATCCTGTCGCTCATGTGGCGTTGCCATATCGAGTCTGTTTGCAGCAAACTTAGTGGCAACATCTACGTGTTGAGGGTGTTGAGGAGAAACGTATCCCAAGACGTTTTGCGCGTTGCGTATTTTTCCCTCTGCCAAGCTACTATGACCTATGCGCTGCTTGCGTGGGGAGGTGCAAGCATGTGTGATAGTGTTTTCAGACTACAGCGCAGATCTATCAGAATTCTGGACAATTTGAAATATGGTGAGGAATGTAAAGGCTCTTTCATTAAACTAAATATTTTGACATTTCCATGCCTCTACATTTTGGAATGCGCTGTATATGCAACGCATTTTACAAGGAAGATTGAAACAAATGGAGATCCTCACAGTTACAACACTCGTAACAAAGACTAACTTTTAAGATTTTAAGTTTTTTTTCGGCAAATTTCGCTATGCTCTTTAAAACTCCATATCCCAGCCAACGTTCATTCAAAAAAGCTTTAAATTGGCACGATTACTCTTCAGATGCTATCAAATAGATTGTCATTTGTCGTAGCAGAGTATCTTATACAGGATGGACAAAAATGGACATAAATGGATGGACAAAAACATGGTCCAAACGGTTTTTGGTCCATGTTTGTATTATTCTTGTCATTAGTTACACTTGACGACAGTTGTAAATCATTGAACATCATGGCAAATTAGTGGAGTCTTATTAGGGAGATTAGATGTTAGGGAGACGGCTAATAAAAGAAGAACAGCGTTGTCATATTTTGTGAATGCCAAATATGTTGTGATCTAATCTAGACATTCCATTGGCATCATGTTAAGTTCTAAAACACTGATTCTGTATTTCTTGTTTGTTATATTTCAATCAATGTTTGTCAGTACTGTTTTTGATTCTGCTGTGTATCTAGGAGATGTGACGTGATAGACAAAAACTGATCTTACTAGTGAACTCAGCATCCCAAAATTAGTAAAATCCGCCGATTTACAAAGCAGATGCTGAAAAAAAGTTTAAATTTGTTGACTAGTGAAATCAATTGACACTAATTATTCTCTAAGTGTCAACTAAGTTGTTTTTGTCAAATCCGGGTATAAGGCTTCTTTGAGTTAATAAGTATTTTCAATGTGCTTCTGAGTTTCCAGACGTTTTCTCTATTCATCTTGTTCCTATATTGATGATATCATCAATCCTTTGGAAATAATGTCCGGTTTGTCTCTCATTTTCCTTGATGTTACGTCTAGTTTGGCCAAAGTTATATTTCTAGAAACTGCATGATAGCCGATAGACTCCCGCTCCCTTTAATGGGGTTAGTTGGTCTGTAGCTATCGGAAGAGCGTTCTGTATTTCGCTGACCGTAC